AATATTGTGACAGAATTCTCATTTATCTGATTATTTCGTCAACATCAAGATACTTCAAGTTGATGTTTGACTCGAGTTGACTGCCGTTTCGTTTTCTAATATTTTTACTATAAATGAAACAAAATTCTATTTACATAGCTCGGTTCGTTTCGTTGAAACTGATTAGTTTCTTTTTTTTTCATTTTCTAATTATTTTATGACAAGTGCGGTAGAGTTTTATTCGTTGGAACGGAATTTTAATTGATAAACTCACTTCTACCGATCGAGCCCAGTTATTCGAATTTGAACTTTTAATTACAGGAGGAGGCAGGGGAGGAGAGACAGACAGCGAGAAAAAAATTGACAAACTTCTGTTAATTGAACTGTTTGTCGCTCGGCAAACCCAGATAAATGAAGTTCCATCGTTTATTGTTCCAATCGTGTTATATTTGCTTCGCGATGACAAAAATACTAAATAGAAATAACACCAGGTTTCTTCTTTACTCGATAGGTGTTCTTTTCGAGAAAAAAAAAAAACCCTTGAAAAACCATTGTACTGAATACTCAAAAAAACTTTCTAAAGAAAATTCTTATTTTCGAATCATCCGTTTCTTTTGTTTCAACGTGAACCAAATGTTCAAAAGCCTTCTCTACGAAAGTTGGAAATTTTACGAGTTAGAGAAAACGTAAAATAATCGAAAATCTCGGAATGTCATTTAACGAGCTTTTGGGAAAAAAGAGATAAATATAATTAATATCGGATTAGATGGGAAGAAATTTCGGAGAAAGGTGGATCGATTATTCGGCGCTACGAGGGGTCTACATAGAGGTCAGTTTCCCAGCGTGCAAACGGAAGCGAACGGTTCGTCAAACCTAATCAACATAAACGGCCTGTCTTCAGCGCGTCGCGGTATCACGAAATCACCACTGCGAATGTTTCTATCTGTTTATCTACTTGCGACTGACTGGGCGATTTGTCAACGAGAGCCTCACGGAGGATCATCACACGTCGAATTGTACGACTGTACCGAAAAAAGAAACTATCGTCTCCGCGCGATGCGCATTTAATGCCGTGTTTCACGCGCGTGTTTTATGCAACTTTTCTGTCCAATATTTTACGAAAGCTTCAACGTACGATTCTATAAAAATAGACGAAACGGTGGCAAACTTCAACGTCTGATGGAGTATAAAGCCGCGTGCCGAAGAACGTCTGGTTGGATAAATTCCAAGACCGTAAACTCCAAGAGGATTCGCTGCGAATGTTCCATAAATACAAAAATGCGAAAAAGTTCGAGATCGTTTATCTATTGTCTTCTCGACGATTTTTCTCTAGAAGCTTTTCTCTAAAAGCTTCTCAGAGTCTTTCACAATATCGATCTGTTACATTTTGTTGCATCGTTATCGAATGTAACAATATTCTTATCAAAGTATGATGAAACAAGATTCCATCTGTTCACACATAATCCTCTTCGTAAATCTTTCAATTTACAGTGAGAGATTGTCATTTTATTGTGTCACGAGTTACATTACTTTGTCAATAAATGTCGTTTCAAAAATCCCTTTCAATTAAAATTATTGTACATTGGAAATTAACATTGACAGACTACAAAAAGTATTTGCAACATCTTTCCAATGAGTTTTTTCTTTTTTAATAGTATTAACTTGCTGGAAATTTAATAATAAATAGATTTTCAATGAAATTTAATGTTTAAGTTCAATTAATTAAATAATTCAAGTATGCTAATAAATTTTCCCTCAAACACCCATTGAAGGTAATAAGTTTAACACGACATGTTGCAAATACTACAGTTTCTTGACATTTCATCAAATTATAAAACCTAAATGGAAGAACAAAAGTATCGAACGAATCCTTGAAACATTTTTTCATAGCAACGATATCAAAAGAAATTTAATTATATTATTGTTGGTAGAAAAAAATTGCGAATAAAATGATGCACTAATACAACTGATTGACACTAGAATAACCAAACCTGTCAATACAACGAATTTCAGACTTTCTTTTCTATAATTTCTCAATAAAGATACGAATGTTCTCGTGAAAATTCATATCGAGAATTAATTTCTACTCACTATTAGATGGAAACGATTGTATAAATCTATCTATTTTAATTATATTCCATTCCATACGATAAATCTATTTTATTATATTACTTTATCATATTAAATAATATAAATAAAATAATTTATCTTACTACATTATTCGTTGTTAATTTATATTGTATCCGTATATTGTATCATTCAAATTATAACTTATATTTATTTTTAATGTATATCTACCACCTCTTTATATTTACATACTGTACTATATTTTTAACTTATATTTTTGTAATTTATATTTTATTGATCTACACATAGAATATCTTGATATGCATTAAAGAACGGTTGTTCTGGCGTCAATGGGTTAATTTCTCAAAACGATTCTCAAAAAAGAAATGGAGAAAAAAACGAATTAAAAGGAAAAAGAACGCAAGAAGAAACTCGGTTTGACGAAAAATCGGTAGGTCGAGTATGGCCCACAGATCTCGCAAGACAGTGCGAGTTTATTGATGCAGACGGTCTGATGCACATCGTAATAACGCGGTCGGCGTTGCTGGCTGTCACTCTCGGCAGGGATACCGGCCAGCTAGCCAGCCAGAGCCAAGAGGAAGCCGTTCTAACGAGCGCATTTCCCGTCTAGAGCGACTCGTTCGCCGGCTTTATCGTCGCAAAAATAACCACCGGTGGCCACTGGCTGTTGTTCCACCGTTCACCAGACGTCGTCGTTTCGTCTTTTTCGAAATTTCTCGCCGCACTGTAGGCCCGATCGACCCAATGGGATCATTTCCATACACATGTATCGCGTTGGCCAAAAAGTAATTGCATTCTTCTTTCATTTTTTTTTTCTTTTTTTCTTTCCAGGACATACATGCACATCTTGAAACGTAACTTGACTTCATTTTAAAATTCCAATTGTAAATTCATTGTTCGAGCTTGTTTCAGAAAAAGAAAATCGTTGACGATGTCGTTAACAATTGTTTGCTTGATCTTTTCGCGATTCAGTTTTCTTCAGTTTCCTCGCCAAAAACGGAGTCCACAGCGAGTCGAGCCGAAATTTTGTTCTCTACAGATATATTTGTATAAATACCCCGTATATAACGTAGGCGCTTGTTTGTTTGCGAGCTCCGAATAAAGAGCTAAATGAACGTCGACGAAACAATTCGTCGCTTGTATCGACACAAAATATCTGACTAGAATATTCAGCGGGGCCTTGTTTACGCTGGAACGTGGATTTTAATCAGGCAGAAAACTGACCGACTGTTAAACACCGGGGAATGCCGCGATGTGACAGGGACTGGAATCGGATCGATCCGAATATACGCGTGCACGAGTTTTGAAATTTCAATTCGACGCTTGCGTACGTGTCTATCGTGACGAACAGACGGAATAACTTTGCTCCTCCTTTCTTTCTTTCTTCTTTTTTTTTTTAATTTATCCTTCTCTTTCTCTCGATGGACCGTCACCATTTTTTTTTTTTCATATTTACCATCAATTTTCTTCTTTTTTTCTTTATTCATCGTTCTTTATTTATCTTTCTTTCGATAGAGAAATTACGAAAGGCGCGAGTTCGGAGGTTAAATAATTAATTGTGAATTATATTCAAATCAGTTTACCTCGCGAGGAATCTTAAGAATACTTATTTAGCTCGCTGACTCTTTGTTTCCGCGTTGACAGAAATCTGGTCAATAACTTCGTGCAATTCGTTCCTTTATTTTCATTTGTTTCATTGTTTCATTGTTCCTTTTTATTACTATCAGTTTGATAATTTAATAATTTAATTTGTGACTTGTGCGTCATGTGAATTAAGATCGATAGAAGCTTCTTTAGATTTTTCTCGAGCGAATGATATTCTAAGCCGTAGTTAAAAAATGAAAGAGATTGTGTTTTATTCGCAGTAACTTTGTACAATGTAATTAACAATTGATACTCTACGGTAGTTAAAAAATGAAAGAGGACGCGTTTTATTCGCAGTACCTTCGTACAATTTAATTAACAACATAATTGAGAACTGAAATTACATATGTTATGTTATATCATGTTCATTTGACGGTCTGAAATTAAATGTAAATTAATACGAAGTTTCACACGCGTATGATGTTAATGTAAACATAAAGTATATATTGAATATTATTAAACATCGATAACTTTAACACAATTCCCGAATCTTTCTACCTAGGTGAATTTTCTATCTTCTACATAAATTAAAATTTCCATGTTTAAATTAAATCAATCGCTTTATAACATCGTGAACTGATTTCCAGTATAATGAGATTATCAGTATGCAAATGACACGTATATGCAAAAATATTCAGAGAAACCCTTTTGCATTTCTGCTTGGTTGCGCTTTATTTAATCGCAATGCGAAAAATACTTGTAAATAGACGAATTTTTACGCATTAATGGAAGATTTTTATAATTGCGTAAAACACACGCAATACGCGCAATGCGAAAAATTCTATCGAAGTTCTCTGTTTTCGAAAATATCCGCGAAATTACTATATTTAAAATATGAAATTTACGAAACGCTTCTTTAATCACATATGTACATCTATAAAAATGTGATATTCAAATTTAGATAAACACTCGCGATTTATAAAATATTTATAAAACACTTACAACTTACAAAATTATCAAACATATAATTGTCTATCTATATATTATTATTGCACAATCTGTATATCTATAAGCTACATATATTATTATATAATTTATGTTTCATAGCCTATATATATACATTACTAATCTAATCATCAAATTATCAAACAAATTTACGCACTCTGAACGAAATGAAATAACACGAAATCAGAAAAAAACCTCTTGATTTATTCACGGGGATAAAAGAGTTAACGTGCTTTCGACGAAAAGGCACGGTTAGAGGAAGAGAGAGATGAATTAAATGAGGTTAGCTCGGTCCGCGTACTTAAAAACTCATTAGCGAGACCCAACAAAATATTTCAACTCACCGGAAGCTGCAACAACGTCGACAAACAGTCCTTGGGTCTCCCTGGGCGATTCTCGTCGACTCTCGTCGAAAAAAAAAAAAAGAAAATCGAAATTACACCGCTAATTAGCTGGCAAATTCAACTAGCTGAATGGCTAACTTCACCACTTGTTCTCTAACCGCGAAAACGGCCTCTTAAGTACCTGATTTTCACTCGACACCGTTTGTCTCTCGTGACTCACGAGCATCTCACTCGACGGCGAAAGAACCTCGAGGATCATGGTGTTTTTTCGTCGTCCAATCACGCAAAAATCGTCCCAATCGACGAATCGTTTTCGATCCTTGTGAGAAGAATTTCGTTAATTGGTGTGATTTGGTGAAATTTTTCTTCTGTTGTTATCATTAAGGTAATCTTGTAATCAGCGTGTTTTATTATTGGTACATATGTCTTGCAATTCGTCTGTTTCATTGTCGGTATATTTTATAATTTGTTTACTTTATTATAAAATTTTATTATTAGTGCGTCTCATTATTGGTATAAATTGCAATTGGCACATTTATCTTGTAATTAGTACATTTATAACGTAAAATTTGTGTAATTTGTATTTATTTGTATGTGTTTTCTCCGTCGAATTTGGAATTTAGAAGACAATGATTAAAATTCAAAAGATCGATGGAATTTCTTTTGGTGTTTCATTACAATAAGAAAATTTATTTGGAATTTTCCATATATTTGCAATTTTTCTCTACTGACTAACACTGAAATTGCGATTTGTAAAATTTATTCTTACAAAACAAGAAAATAAAATATCCAACCTTTCTAGGATTCGTCTCTAATTAATTCATAAATCTTTCCAGCTATAACATTCTACGATTCTCAAGGAAACTTTTCGTTTCACAAGTATTTGAAGGTGTATCGCGATTAAGCCAAAAATTCTTTCAAACTCCGTCAAATCCTCACTTACTCAGAACTCTGATTATCCCTCAAATACTCGAAATAAATGTAAACTCGTCATCATCATCATTTACTCAAAATTTCATCAATTTAATAATACAATCTGTAACCCATTTACTTTATACGTTACAAATCTCACCGAATCGCTCCTGCAAAGAATCTCTAACTCCCTTCAAGCTGCAAAAACAATAAACTGCAAAATTCGATAACTCTCTCTCTCTCTCTCTCTCTATCTATCTATCTATCTATCTATCTATCTATCTATCTCTATCTCTCTATTTCGTTCTCTCGCTCTCTCTCGGAATCACGAAAAATTTCTTCATCGATATTTCCATCGGAATTCCAGCGCGGTCCGTTGAAAAACTGCTGGAGATGAATCACGAGTCACACTTTCCACCTCTATTATCCTCTTTATTGTCGCTGACACGCACTGTCACGCTCAACTGGGGCCACGTTTGCGTCCGTTGATTCCCCATCGCGAGAAGGTTCGCCGTATCCTTACGCGTTGGAGGGACAGAGAAGAACAGAGCGTGAAAACCTCATGAAGTTGTGTCTGCAGCCCGCGATCGACTAAACGAACGATCCGCGATCAACGTTTATCTCGAACAACGTCCGCGAACGGAAACGTCATCACGCGGTAGCGATATCTCATTGTCCGGTACGATAAATTCAAATCTATAGAACACCGTTCACCGTTCCGACGATGGCACGATGGAAATCGCGATGATACGACGCGACAACGCGGAGAACCGAAAATGAAGAAAAAAAAAAAAAAAAAACAAGAAAACAAAGGACACTCGCTCGCCCATTTACTCGGACGCTCGTTTCCACGTAAACCGCGACATTCGTTGACGTCGCGCTTTTATTTTCATCTTGTTGTTGACAATCCCTCGGTGTTTCGCCTTTTTTTCTCGCTCTAAATCGTCGACGCTTCTCTCCCTAATTAAGTACGTACGTACGTCCTTCTCGCTGCGCAAAATTCTTTATAAATTTAATAGCTCTATTTGATCTGATCGATATTTTTCAACGAGTTTCCGAGCGTTTCGTTTGAAAGATTCTAGTTCATGTCTGAGAATTACGCCGATTACTACTCGTCGCAAAAGTTTATTGCACGTTGACCAACGTGTTTTGTTTAAAACAGCTTGTCGATCGTGGAAATTTTTGAACATCGTACTTTGAGGAATCTGTTTCATATTAGGGGATGTATATTGATTAAAAATTTAGTATTCGTCGGACAATATCTCGTTTAAAACAGTTTATTAAATTAGGAATTGTCTAAATTCTTGAATAATTTCTAGTAGTACCACATTTACTCACGTCTGTTTTGGTATCGATGATTTTCTCTATCAATGTTCCTTTCAACACTTGTAATTCTGTCCAACTATTAATTGAAGTTTTGATGTAAATTAATTCATAATTCCGATTCGTGAATAATTTCTGACACTATCATATTCAACAGATTCCATTTCTTGTTAAAATCATCTCCCTCCCCCTTCCCCTCCTCTTTCAACTTAAAATTCTTTCCAACTTTCGATTAAAGTGTCCATTTAAATTAATCAACTGGTAATTCACTGTTTAAACTCATAAATAATTATACTGATATATTTGGCAAATTCTATTCGGTATTACAGAGTTCAAATTCTCGAATAATTTCTAATGCTATCACATTTTGACAGATTCTATTCCTTACTAACAAAAAAAAAAAAAAAAAAGATACATCGATCATTCCCTCTCAGACGATCCTTTCAGCTTTCAACTTTCAACTTTCCAACTTTTCAACTTTTATTCTTTCCAACTTTCGGTTAAGTGTCTATTTAAATTAAACAGCTATTTAATTTACCGTTTAAACTCCTAAATAATTGTACCGCTGTATTCGGCAAATTCCATTCGATATAACAGAGTTCAAATTTCGAATGTTATCGACAGATTCTATTTCTTATAAAATATATATGTATCGACCATTCCCTCTTCTTTCAGCCTAACTTTCAACTTAAAATTCTCTCCAACTTTCGATTAAAGTGTCCATTTAAATTAATTAGCTGGTAATTCACTGTTTAAACTGCTAAATAATTGTACTAATTCCATTCGATACTGCCGAGTGTATCGACAATACTTCTTTTCGTTTAAACAATATCCGAATTTTATATCGAGGAATTCCGTCGTATTTAAATATCGAAAGATTTAAACAACGTGAAAGAGAAAAGAGACACGAACTTGCCATCACCTCTGAAGTTTCATCGACGGTCAAGAATCATTATTGGTTCATAATGGAACACGGGACAGTTGAGAGATCACCGATCGATTCGCGACAAGATCCTCGAGGTTCTTCGAATCGCGTACGCGGTCCCGACGAAGCGGAAGTGGGACGAGCCTCGACATATCCGCTCGCAACGACGGCCGGCGTCGGACTGCCATCGGCCGCCACTGTCAAGGGGTTTTATCGACGGCGGGACAGATCGGCCGCCACGGATAAACACGACCTGGGATAACCTATAAGATTCCCACCTCCCACAGGCCATTTATATTTTGGATGTTTTCGACCAAGGGGATAGAGCCTCTCGCTTTCATATTCGACGATTTGTTACGGATTAGGGTTAAGGTTGAGAACGGCTCGAAGCAAAGGAAAGACGTTAGCGAGTTTACCTTGCACGCAATTTTACACGTCACATCAGACGAGAGAGAGATTGAACATTTCGAACATTCTTCGTTTGCAGCTGAGAGCTAAACGAATTAAATCAAGAATCTCTCTGTTCGATGTTTATTTGAATCTGTTCAATTTGTCAGTTTCATTCGAAAAGATTAAGATCGGAAGATGGTTCCGAGAAATAGAGAATTGAAAGGAGACGTACGGTAACATGGAATCTTTGTAATTGAATTTTATTGGACATTTCGATAAAAAAAAAAAAGTAAAATTTATGTCCTCGATATTTCGCGATTTCGCAGATCGAAATTAGATTTGAAAATAGTTTCGATAACTACGGAAAATTGTTGGAAAGTGTTGAACTTTTATATTTCGTCACTTTTTCGACTGGATTTTTCAAGACTCTGTCATTTGTTAATATAATTGTAACATCGATGGACATTTACAGAAACGTTCGAAAGAAATTTAGAAATGAAAAATGATAATTTATAATATTCAATTAAATTTTATTTTGGAATTATGATTTTTCAATTACCGATCGAAATCTTACATTTTCAAATGGTAGAGTAAATTTTTTTTGTAAGGATTCTCCTCGAGAAGTAGTTTTCAATCCTTACTTTTCGATTGTAGACGTAAATTGCAATATAAATTTCAAAGTATACAATTAAACTAAACATGAATATCAGAGTCTACAAACTAAGAATTAAATAATATTTTAAAAACTTTCGACGAAGCACAACAAACTCAACTAATTCAAAATAGATAAATATTCATGCGTAGAAAATAATAATTTGCAAGCGTTCGCTATTTCTTCTCCAATTATGACTAAGTCTAGAAGTTTAATTAATATTATATAACCGCCTTCCTCGCCCCCCCCGTTGAAAACGAGATAGCTATCGATTCAATCGCGCGTTCGTTTCGTTCTCATCCAAGGAGGATACATCTGACGACGTTTTTAGAATGGAATGGCGGGCTATTCATAAACCATGAGAATCAAAGGAACGATCTGAAATGAAAATTTTCATACGCGGACGTGTATGTAATTGTGCTGCCTCGCGGAGAGTTTCATTAACGAAATAATTACGAGAAAAAAAATTCCGATACACAGCCTCGACAGTTTGCTGGCAAATGGAAAAAAAAGAACTCAGCGAAACCGATGAAACTGCGTCCATTCACGTCGCTGATCGAGAAAAAAATAGTGATTAATATCCGTTTATGGGAAACTGGGGTCTTCGGGAATATCGAAATTTTGATTTCTGATATCATTCAATCGAGAGAAACGAAACGATGAATGGACCGATATCTCGTTTGATTAATTGATTGAGTTGTTCGAAAAACAGTATTTCAAAAATTCTGTTCTATAATTTTCTATTTTCTTAATGCATTTAATAATTTAATAATTTTGTATCTTTTTTAATAATAATAGTTTGATAGAATTCAGTTCAATCTATTTTAACCACTTCAATTTATCTTCTATTCGTCTATTCATGCACTATTTTATTTCAATATTCTATCCAAAAAAAATATTTCATGTTTAATGAATATCTCTTTTAATTCCAAATTATTTTTTAAAGTTTTTCAGCAATTAATTAGTCACAACGTAGTACTATTTTTATTTTGTCAAGCAACAAAGCCATACACTTCGATGAAATACCAGACTTTAATATTTTCACATATCATTTTCATTTTTTCATTATCTCCGTCGCATCGTTTTTAACCTGTCGATATTTTTAATTCTGAAGCGAGATAGGGTTCAACGAAACGCCGACATTTTCATCCCTCATTTCCCTGTTTTTATCTCGGATCTCTAGCCTGGCAACATTTTTAATTCCGCAGTAAAAAAAAAAGAAGAAGAAGAGAAAAAGAAAAAAAACAGTACAACTTTCCCTCAAAGAAACACATTTCTCTTTCACCATTTTCTACCATGTAATATATTTCATCTTACTACTTTTATTCTGGTACACACGGTTCAAAGAACGTTAGTACATTTCGTTTATTTTTACGCTACATTTTATTACTCTTAACCAGAGGCATTCTCCGACACTATATTAAGTTCGTAGAGTTCAAAGAGCACCACTGCGTCTCGTTATTGTTTACACCTCGTTTTACTATTTTTTAATCCCCTTAATTGCCAAGCGAAAAGAAAAAGGAGTTTGAAAAACAACGTGTTCTTCCTTAAACGAGAGAAGCAACTATCTTTTTCTCCCTGTTTCTCCAATGTTCCCTGATTTTATTTACATTTTATTTCCTTTGGCCATCTCTATTTCGCGTGCTTTTAATCGGACATCATTTACAACTCTCAGGTAAAAAGGGGAGTTCGAAGAATTCCAAGAAGGTGAGACAAATGCTGTTAATAACTTCGTCCTGGATATATTTCAGTACATTTCGTCAAACGTTCGCATAAATCTCCGAAACGAGGGTGTCCATTGACAAAGGACCCTATCAGCGACGCGGCTGACCTTGGCTCGTCACAATACGAACAACCCTGTTTCGTTGAACGAGCAAGAAGCTTGGGAAAGTGACACGTTCCGAAAGAGCCATCGACTGTCGGCCGACATGCTTCGCCAACGAAATGGCAAATGTCGTGCTAAAATAACGTTCTTCCACCAGGGAGGATTATGTGTTGATGGAGGGTCTAAATTTAGTGGAGCAAGTAGATCACTCTGGCTGAGCAAGTAGATAGAACGTACGAGTACTCTCGATTTTTCCAAAAATCATAATCAATCCTTAAAGTGTATTGCAAGATAAGAAAAATTGGAGAATGTTTCTATATAGAGATGAATAGAAAAAGAAAAGGAAAGAAAAATATACGAATAAAAATTTCGCTTCATCGAGCGCCAGATAATGGTACTGAGAATGACGACCTCAAAATATATATTTTTATAACTCGTAGAGCAGACATTAGAGAAGAAAATAATTTAAAAGCAAATAAACTTAATTTCCTCCCAGTGCATCTAAAACATTCAATATAAATGTAAAAATAAATACGATATAGACAAAGAATAAACATAAACGCATCGAAAACAATCGATGAGACACCTCCGAAAGTGCCAAAAAGTGTGGAGGAAAAAAAAAAACTGAGAAAGAGGGTAAAAACGAAAGTTCAATCAATCGATTTCCACAAATCGACCTCTCTTTCTGTCTTCAGCTCCTGTCTCGTTTTTCAATAATACACGAGCCACCGATCCAACCAAATGGACAAACGTACATACGCAATGGGGGAGGGGGAGAAAAAGAAGAGAAATCATCGGGTGAAATTGAATCGTAACAACGGTGCTAATTCATTTTCGTTTCGAACGACTCGCTCTTTGTATATTAGAATTAACGAACGAATTGGAATCCATGGAGTCCCTCGTCCTTCACCCTTTGCAGTCCCTTCGGCAAGCTCGGCCGCCATTCCGCCTCGTTGGCAAATATTTACAGATGACGTTTTGTTCCCCCCGGATAAATTGCGTTCCGGCGAGTATTCGAAAATTAAAATGATCCCCGCGCGTCCGCGTTTGGAAAACGTTTTCCATGCAGGTTGACATGGCCGATCGTTTGCTTTCGTGCTGTTTGCGGGCTCAGTTTTTGGTCTGCCCTCTGTTTTACTAGACAAAGTAAACAACACCTCTAAGGAATTAAATTGGTGTGCAAGGAAATGATGAAAATCTTTCGGTGTGAAGAAGAGATATTGAGAAATATTAAGAACTTGTCTACTTTCGAATTTTCAAGAAGTTGAAATAAATTATTTCGGTACTTGTGACTAACCGAACAACGTGCTTATTATTTAAGTTTCGATATCTCACTGAAAAACACAATTTTTCTGTTTTACCTGGGAATTTTTATTGGTAAAGTAAATAATATTTTTTAGGATTCAAATTGGTGAGTGATGAAATAATGAACATGATGAAAATATGAGAAGAATCGTTCAGTATAAAGAAGAAATATCGGAACTTGTAATTTTAGATCCATAATTTTCGAATTCTTAAATTTTACGACGATCCAAAAAGTTGAAAGAAATTATTTCGGTATTTATAGAAAGATAGAAATTTAAATAAATTACATTGATTTGTAACAACGAACAGCATGGAACAACATTTGTTTATTAATTAAACTATTTGATATTTCACTAAAAAAGATCGGTTCATTATTTCATCATATTTTATTTCTTTTTTTTTTTTTTTTTGCACAAATACGTATTATTCCAACTCCTCGATTTTCCGTTAAAACAATCAGTTTTTTATCCCCTTGACACTTTTACGATTTCAACTAATTCGATTTACACTATTATCTCTGGCCTGTAGCAATTTTAGAGATGAAAGCGAAAATTTGGTTGCATATTTTATGATTGTATGCTATATGTTTCACAACATTTGCTTCTAATTTATGACACACAGTATTTCTCGTATGTTGCATCAGCGAATGAGATATATATGCGTATACAAAGATGTGTATTACAAAGTTTTCAAAAGTTTATCTCGTTATTACAAAATCTTCTAAAATTTACCTTGAAAATACTTATAGAAACGAGTCACTCATATTTTTAGAAAAAATTTTTAGATTCCATGAAACTAAGAGAATTCTAGAACCAAAAATCAGAAAATCCAAATTACGAAAGTCCGAACTCCTCAAGCCTACCAATCTCGAAACATTATCCACAAATTAAATTACCCTCAAATTGGAATTTGGACAATCGAACGAAGAATCTCCTATTGACACCATGACGATTGCAAAATTTTTAAATCAACCAAAAATCCGAAGAGTCAAAATCC